CCGCACATCCTGCAAGAATCAGGCCAGCCCTTCCCCTTGACAACCAACTCCCCTTGGCTGACCTGGGTCAAGAAAGGGGTGTTCACGGTTGGGGACTTGTGGGACCCGATGGGGGGGGAGTGGGCGACCCCTGCCCAACTACAGCGTAAACTCAAGCATGCAAAAAATGTGGAAGAAAAGGCTAGCCTGCTGAAAGAGGCCCTCCCCATTGCCTGGCATCTCACCCTTAAGGAGGGCCCAACAGTCTGCCGGGCTGACTTGGTCGCCAGGTACTCGGACGCTCCGACCCACCTAGTATATTTAAGGTGAAGGACAACAATCACGGGTCCTGCAAACTGGAAGCCTACGAACCCCAATAGCCTGGGGCCATATTCACAAAACTGGTAAGAAATGAAAGACTGAACACTACAGGAACATGGGGGGGACTGATGCAGGTGAGGGTGGTGGGGGACCAGGAAAATGCCTACTATGCATATGAGACCACCAATCCTGTGGCTAACCTCCCCTTTGACCCGGCTGAATGGGAGTGACCAGGTTCCAAACCAATGTACATATGGAACTACACCGTCAAAGGAGGATACCGAACATCTTGACAAACCCTGCCGATCAGTCAAACGGTAGCGAACAGATGGCAGCGTGACTCGCCGCTGGACCATAAACTGTCACGGGCTTTTGACTGGTCCAGGTATGCATGGATCATGCCTACAAACCATAGGTCTCTGCAGTGGCAGATCCTCCACAGCTGCCTCCCCACCCCCGACTGGATAGTGTCCAGGACTAACCTGGAGCAGCAAGGCAAGTTATCCCCGATCTGTGCATATTGCACTCATACACCGACCATGGCGACTCTAGAACATTGTCTCCTGGCTTGCCCGATGGTAACCCAGCTATGGCGATGGTGGGATGCGGCGCTTCACTCCCTCACATGATATCACATACCCTGGGATATCGGCCTCTTGATGCTCGGGGAGAATTGTCACCTGCTGGCTCGCTGGTCTCCGTTTGCGACTAACCTCTTTTCATATACAAGGCTGCACCTTCTTATGCTGGCTTGGAGAGCTAGATGCTCGTTCGAAAGGAAGGACCACGAATTTGGTCTGATGCAGGCTCAACAAGCTGTGGAAGAACAGATCAGGACTAACACCCATGAGGCCTGGAAGGCTATGAAGCGGGATCTTCTGGAGGAAAAAGACCCTCCTACCAGGGATGTCATCCGACAAGCCTACATCCTCACTTGGCAAGACCCTGGCAATTTGTTCTCGGAACTCGATACTGACCTTCATATTACGTGGAAACCTTGGAGGAAAACGGAACCTGGCTGGCAGAGGAAACCCTTTACTGACTTCCAGGTCCCGTACCTCCAACCTAACTTTGTGCTGCTCCCTACCCCAGTGTCGATTGCCCTATCACCCCACCTCCCCCCGCCAGCCCTGCCAAGCTCGTCACTTCCTCCCCATGCAGCGTCTCCCATCCCCGCACTCGCCCCGCCGCAGGCACTCACCCTTCAGATCACTTGATCCGCAGCTGTGTGGCTCCTGACGACTGGGTTTGACAGGACGGGCCAAAAGGGGCTGTTGGAGTGATTGGCAACGGAAGACCAAAATTGACGGAGTGATAACTCAGGATGGGACGCTACAAGAACGCTACAGGCCCGAGTGAGCCGAGTCTGTGGATGAAGAGGGCAGCCTGATAATAAGGCACTGGTTTTAGCCTGCTGTTCCCCCTCTCCAACTCTGTCGCAGTGGATGACAAGGACGGTGACGATCAACAATAAGCCAGGCACAGTCATGGCCGGATACAGGGTTTTTGGTTGCAGGGGGAGCTACGAACCGGAACAGATACTCTACCCCTCGGTTCTGATAGGCTAAGGAAGACGAATAGGAAGCGAAGGGCGGGCAGCAGGGCAAGTAGGGATCCAGGAGGTTGGCAGAGGATCAAGGGGCTGAAGGGTAAAGGGGTTTAAGGATCCAGTGGCTGAAGGGTAAAGGGGTTTAAGGGTCCAAAGGCCGAAATGGCTTTCAGAAACTACAGGCTTTATTTAGGTATAATCGGGGGCTGATGAGTATGGCTG